GGTTTTTTCTTTCAGCCCTCTCATGTGTCTTTCCTAAACATACACTCTCACTGTCACACACACATGCTAAAACTTAAAGTCGAAGCATATTGGAATGTTTTTGTCATCTGCTGCCCCTGGGTTGCCACGGCGATACAGCTGGACTCTTCGCGATTGATCGGGCTGTGAGCAAGGTGTGTCTGTGCGCGCGTGTGCCATAATCAGTGGAATCCTTGCTCTTTAAACTCCTAGACGTAAGGAATGCACTCCTCTCTCCCCTCGCTCCTCTGATGTTTTCATAGAATGACTTCAGTCTCCCTCTCTCCCTCTCTCTCTCACTCACTCTCTCACACACACATCTAAAACACACACATACTTGCCCATATTCAAGGCACACCACTATTTTAAAAAAAATGGCAAGAAAGCTCTTCAAACAATAATCTAATCATCAAAAAAGGCAACATTCAATAGACCTGGTTGATTACACAAATTGTAAGAGAGAAGGGAAAAAGAAAGAGAGAAGCAAAGACAGACAAAGAATCAGAGCCGAGTTCTATTCTCAGCATTACCTTGACTCTCTGGCAGTGCTGTTTATCAGACTAGAGCCGGTAAAAAATATAGGCCAGCGACGGATCTGAAGGCTTAATTATTTTAGGGACAATTTATATGATTTTCTATGAGAAAGAAGTAGGAAGAGCTGAGCTGTGAAGGCCAGCCTCCAACCTTGACTCGGACACACTGATATTGATTTAACCGTGAAAACAGGAGCTGGTGAATTATGATGTCATGACTCAATGCTCTCCTTGCCTCTGTCACTGAAGGAGGATGGGGAGCAGGGAGGGTGGGTGGCAAAGGAAGGGAGGAGTGGAGGTCAGTGAATGAGAGACTGAGTAAGACAGGTCGGGGTAAAGCAGATGAATTAGAGGTTTATCTTAATTGCTCCTAAGAGGGATCACAGGTTAGGGTTGGCTGCTACCTGAGAGAGACAGGGGGGGCTAGGGCTTAGGGGGGAATCAGAGGTGATTACAGTGGAGTTTAAAAAACAGGCAAAGAAATTGTCTGAATGAGAAAAACTGAGAGGATGATGCAAAGGTACTAAGCAGAAGTCCTGACTTACTACTTACTTCCAACAGTATGTTGGAAACAGGTTCGGGAAATTCTGGTGTAGCACTTAACAAATACCTTCAAACAAATACCCCCACACTGCCACACAAGGGTCTGCATGTAAGGTTATCTTTAATGTGGAGAAAGGATGAGTGCATGGCCACATTCATGAAATACATGTAGCAGTAAGCAGGACTTCAGTGTCCCCTGCTCTGTTGCATTGAAGGACACGGCTGTGAATGGAGGCAGGATGAAAAACTTTTGCAGTAGTGCTACAACATTGTTCAGAGGATGAATGTCTTTGTATTGATTTGGCTGAGAGAGAAAACAGAGAGATTTTTCACATGTTTATATCAAGGACACCGCAGGATAAACAGCCTTCGCCCAGTCTGTCTCTTCTCCCGCTCAAGGCCCAGCCAGCGCAGGTTATAAAAATCCTTCTGTCTCAAGGAGAGATTCCATTATTGTTGCAAAAGCACAGAGTTGAAAAGACAGCTACAGTTCTCTGTCGCTCTTTGTCTTGCTCACGGCTTCCTTTGTTTATTTATCAAATTTGTACAAGATGTACTTAAGTATCTCTCCCCTCCACCATCTTCCCTCAGACAGTGCAAATAAAATATGTCTTAAAATATTTCTTTAATATAGTGAGAATGCACTGGCCTCCAGTGCATGATGTGTATCCAGATATTGTTAAGACCAACAAGACTTTATTTTAAATTCAGTGCAAATCCAAACGTGTATACAAATGTATACAAATGTGTATAAAATGATGATTACACAAGAATATTACATTTACTGAATTGAGAATACATAAAATACATGTCTTGGGTTTGAATTTTTTACTTGATAATGAATATACTATATATGATATTATAATTTAGTTACAAAGTATTTCATGTTGGAATAATAGATTAAAACAGGTGACTAAAAACACCTTCTTTGTTCCATTACTCCCAATATTTAAAGTGATCCACTGAAAACAGTGGGGATAAATACATTGTCATAAAAAAATTTCTTGATTACATGTGTGCATCATTTTCCGTGACATTGTGCATAGGTAGGCAGTCTGAAACCAGCATATAGGTGAAACCAGGACTTCTAGGTAGTTCTTGGAAATGCATCTAATTGTTGAACGATGCCCAACTTGTTTTAATAGGGTGTCTCCTACGAGTGTGGCACTACGTCACACACCCCGACTATGTCACTGATTTTGGAGAAACTGGATCAGATTAATTTTATGGAGAAAAGGTTTTCTGTTTTTTCCCTCTGATGTCCTCTAGCTGCTCCGCCTTTGACGCTCCAGGTGATGAAGGAGTTTCCCTGATAGATAGATAGATAGATAGATAGATAGATACGATAGATAGATAGATAAGATAGATAGATAGATAGGATAGATAGATAGATAGATAGATAGATAGATAGATAGATAGATAGATAGATAGATAGATAGATTGGAATGGCACCAGGCTCAGCAGCCTCTACAAACATCATCAGCAGAGACAAAGAGACTGAAGAGGATTTTGACCGAGGAAGCTAAGTACAGAAAAATGGAGGGAGTGACCAACCAAGAGTAAATCCTGGTCTGGCTTTTTAGTCAGTAAGTGTGTTGTGTTCTTGTACATTGTTGCTTTAACATCAAAAACATAGTTTACTGTACACTGGACAATTGCCAAGAGCATTTTGCTTTCTAGAGGCTATACCATCAAGTAACAGAGCCACAATCATGGTATCAGCTTCAGCGATCCAGTTTGTTCTTAGTTTTCTGTGATATAGAGCAGGCTCTTTCTCTGGCCCAGTGCCTGCTGGTCCCAAGCCCAGTTTAAAATGGCTCGGCATGGGGAGGACTTCTCACAGCCCTATCCCATAACTTTAAGGATGTGAACACGCTTCCCACAAAATACCGCACCCTGTTAGTGTTTGTCTACAGCTAGTAAACTGTCATAGTTCAGCATTACAAATATGAGTTCTGACCAAGGCTCCTAAAATTGGTCTCGTTGGCTAAATTTACCAAACTATTATAATGCTAAAGTGTGTTTTTACTATTTAGCAGATAAAACACAAAGCCCTCTTCTCTTTCCCAACTCCCTTCTGCCAATGACTGGTCTGCTCGTAAATATCTGCACGCACAATAACAAAAAGTTTAAACTGTAAAAGTGCACACACACACACACACACACACACACACAAATTACTCATCTGTCTTTGATCTGCACTTCTTGAAATAATTGCTGTGGCACCCAGACAGTCACAGTCAGACAGCATCAGCCACGCTGCAGCTTTGTGTCTAGTGCTGAAATTTAGAGCAAGGTCAGTACCAAAGACGTTATTTACTCGGACAAGGGGCATGGGAAAGTGAGAGCAGAGCACATGCAGGAATTTAATTGGGAAGGAAAGACAGAGTAAAGTCCCATTAAAAATAAATTCCAGGGCTTTAATTTTTTTAGCGTTTGAGAATGGAGAGTAGGTTTAGCAAAAACTTTGCTTTAAAAGCAATAATTTAAAAAGACAAGTGCAATTGTGTCAACTTCAGTCAACCCTTTCACAACCCTTCAGCTGAAACATTTGAAGGAACTTCTTTGGTAACTCTGTTTAATCTCTACAACTTACTAATACTTTGAAATTCCTTGAAATGTGCCAGGTAAATACACAAAATGCTTTCAGTAAGTGAGTATTGTTATGTTATGTGCTTTTGCAGCAGTAAGCATTTCCTGAAGGCTGATTGCACAAATGAAATTTTGAGGTTGCCATGACCCAAGAAGACAGCTCTTTGGCACATTCAGCCAAGTCGGCCTTGAAACACAAGGGTGGAGAAAAACACAAGGTTTTTACCAAACACTTGGGGCTTAGACACCCACAGACACTCCAAGACAGGTCTCAGAAACTTAAGAGGACAACTTTGTATGATTCAAGGCTTTGCATCAAATGGCTCCCCTGGAAAAGTCTTGTACTGCATTGTTTGTTGATTTGTTGGGCGCTCTTCTGGCGGTTGCTATAGTGACTGCCTCCATTTTCTCTCTGTGGCTGCTCACATAAAGGACTGTGTCCTTGTCTGCATAATAGTTACAAATTGAATACTGCACTTTCCAAGGTCTCATGTCACCAACTTACAGCAGAGTGAGTGTATGAGTGTGTGTGTTTGTGTGTTGGAGAGGAAGAAAGAAGACAAGTTTGCATTAGATGTGATGAATGTGAGGTACCATTTCTTTCTTTTTATTTAGTCTTGATTTATTATGTGAATTAGACAATACAAAAAAAATGCATTTACATAAACAGCACAAACAGAAAAATCAATGCAACAAACCAAATATGTAAAGATACAACAAAGAACAACAAAAAAGAAGAGAAACAAGCAACAAATAAGCAGGAAAATAAAAAACAGGATTTAAAAGGACTACAAGGTACATAGAACAAGGTACATTATTTTATTATTAGGCATAACTCATACTTTTATCGCTAATGGATCACATGAGGACTGCCCAGTCATTCCTCCACCCATTCATATTTTAACTAGAAATGTAATCATAGCTCCAATAAAAAACTAAATAAATAAATGCAAATAAGCACATAAGATATCAATAGATGCCAAAGTAGTGTACTTAGTGTAGTTCAAGTCTTATAAATCATACCTGTTTTTCTTAATTTTGAGGAATTGCATCATGTTTCTTTTCAAATCCCATGAAAAACCAAAACACACTCACAAATATATTGTTTCATTGTTTAAAAAGGCTCAGTAATTTCCTTTTTTAAGCTCGGCACAGTGTTTTGGCAGACTTTACTAAAATATAAGCGAATAGTGCATCTGCTGGGGACTGACTTC